TTGTCAAGGATTTCATTTTACTTGGGTCCACATCAACACCCATGGAGGCAGCAGTCAAGAAATCAGAAGACGCATTGCATTGGGCAAATTTGCTGCAAAAGACCTCTTTAAAGTGTTAAAAAGTAAAGATGTCATCTTGAAGACTAAGGTGCACCTGACCCAAGCCATGGTGTTTTCAGTCACCTCATATGCATGCGAAAGTTGGACAGTGAATAAGGAAGACTGCATAAGAATTGACGCCTTTGAGTTATGGTGTTGGCAAAGAATATTGAATATACCATTGTGATGGTTAAGATTGTGTGTCAACCTGGCTGGACCATGATTCTCCGTGTTTTAATGTAATCACTCCCATGACTGAATATACTGTGAGTAGCCAATCAGATGAAAGGGAGTCTCCTTGGGTGTGGCCCGCATCTGTATATAAGCAGACGTTCTGGCTTTTTGCTCTCTCTGGATCCTGTGGCTGCTTCCTGGTCGGCTCATCTCCCGTTCTTGGGACTTGAGCTGTCAGCTTATCTGCTGAACCTGGGATTCATCAATCTGCACAGCCTGTGAGTGGGAGCCCTACTCTCCAACCTTCCGATCTTGGGCTTGCCAGCTTCTGCAGCTGTGTGACTTGGGAGAGGCCTCTACCCTGATCCACGGACTTGGGACGTTCTAGCCTCTACAATCACGTGAGCTGTTTCCTTGATATAATCTTTCTCTATATATATTTATACATTTTACTGGTTTTGCTTCTCTAGAGAACCCAGCCTAAGACAAGATCCAAAAAATACTTTTTTTTTTTTTAAACCAGCATATGATGAGGTATGAGAAGAGAGAGATGACCTCAAGGGAACTGTTCAGTTCTTAAGAAACATTTAGAGTAAATATAGATGTTTTAAGACTCACTGGGTTGGGAAATAAAATTCTTCCACAACTTGGCAAAATATCCTGACAGTAAGAAATGAGTTCAGAATGATGATCAAATTAATAGTAACTATAATATTTTTTGTTAAGATCTCAGAAAAATTTAAGGCTGTGCCTAATAGTCTTTCTTAGGAAGACAAGATGTCTTCTAATAATCATGAGTGTAGCCCACAGAAATGTGACTAGTACAAAACAGAAAGACATCTGTTTCAAAAAAGAATTACCGATGAGGCTTTGGGGACATAGAGTGAATCGCAATAAGTATCATAGGCAAATGACAAATTTTAAGAGAGTTATTCTGGCAAAAGCTCCACCAGCTTGAACTAAAAGAATCTGAGGTATTTCAATGTGAAAAGAGGACTCTGGATCCTGATCATCCATAGGAATAGGAAGAAAACTGAGAAAGCTACTCAGCTGCAAATATGGACCATTCCTGATAGAACAGTAAAGACATCTTAGAGTAGAGCAAGGATCAAAAACATACAGCAAGAGCAAAGGAAAAATCATGGACTAAGGAACCTCATACCACCAAGAAAGCAGTGCTGGGAGCAGAGCGCATCCTTTGGATCTGAGGTTCCTGCACAGATAAGCTCCCAGACCAAAGGAAGACTAATGACATGGACTTTCCTCCAGAGCTGATGGAGAAAGCGTTCCCCTGGAGCTGATGCCCTGAATTTGGACTTGTAGCCTACTGGACTGTGAGAGAATAAATTTCTCTTTGTAAAGCCATCCACTTGTGATATTTCTGTTGGAGCAGCACTAGATGACTAAGACAACCATGGACTGCCAAAAGAACGAACAGATGTGTCTTGGAAGAAATACAGCCAGAATGCTCCTTAGAAGCAAGGATGGTGAGACCACGTCTCACATATTTTGGACATGTTATCGTGAGGGATCAGTCCCTGGAGAAGGATATCATGCTTGGTAAACTAGAGGGTTATGGAAAAAGAGGAAGACCTTCAATGAGATGGATTGACACAGTGGCTGCAACAATGAGCTCACGCATAATGATTGTGAGGATGGTGCAGGACTGGGCAGTGTTTCATTCTGTTGTACATAGGTTCACTATGAGTTGGAACCGACTCGACGGCACCTAATGACAACAATAAGCACAGTGGTTGAGCATTCGGCTGCTAGCCAAAAAGTCAGTGCTTTGAACCTACCAACCGCCTGGAGAAAGATGTGGCAGTCTGCTTCTGTAAAGATTTACAGCCTTGGAAACCCTATGGGGCAGTTCTACTCTGTCCTTTAGGGTCACTATGAATCAGAATCCACTCTATGGCAATGGGTTTGATCTGGGGGCCCAAAGGGCTACCCCATCCCCTACCCCTGCCCTCCAGAATGAACCAGAAGTAAAGCAACCTGGACTGCAGTTTGGCAGTAAAAATTGAATGAGGATACCTGGATGCTGCTCTGGCACTAATATGTACCGCAAATCACTTCACTACTTTACAAGGCCTCTCGTTAAATCAGGTGTTTCAGTGATCCTTTTGATCCTTTGTCCCCTCACTTAATGAATAACTGAAAAATTTGACAACTGGAAGACTCGGGTCCTTCATTAGATTTGCTAATTATAATAGGTTCTCGTGAGAAACTGAGACTAATAATAGAGTGCTAGTTTCACCCTACAGGGTCACGTAGCATTTTTTAAAAGCAATTTTAAATTTAAATGGCAGGTGGCAGAGGGAGAAGAAACTGCAAAACACACAATAAATAAGAAAAATCTTACCAGTTAGTGACTGGTGAAGGAAGATGTTGAGCAAAAATGGAGGAGGAAAAAAAAAGCTCCATTCCTCTCACCTTTTAAAAATTCTGGAAGTAAACTTAACTAGTCTAAATTTCATTTCCATATGCTAATTTGTGTTTTCTGCATACAAATCTTGTCCATGAACACAAGCAAGACAAAAACAACAACAAAAAAGCTACTAAGGATGATGAGTGACTGGAGTTAACCAGCAAGGTTTAAAACTTTATTTTCCTTCAGGTAAACTCTCCTGCCGGTATCTTACAGGAAAATAAGTATTTGTAAATAAAAGAGACCATTCAGTAGTCAAATCTTCAAGTCAGAATTTTAATCTTTTCATCAATGTTACAGAATTTACTTTCTTCTTACTAAGGTAATATATCACCTTCTAAAATGAGCGTAGTGCAACAATCAACCTAAATGTACAGGTAGTATTTGAATTAAAAAAAAAAAAAAACCCATTGCCATGGAGACAATTCTGACTCATAGTGACCCTATAGGACTGGGTAGAACTGCCCCATAAGGTTTCCAAGGAGTGGCTGGTAGATTCAAACTGCTGACCTTTTGTTTAGCACCCAAGCTCTTAAGCACTGTGCCACCAGGGCTCCAGTATTTGAATAGTAATGCTTTAAAATGGGCTAATTACCACCTTTCAGTCACTATACTACTAGCTCAATAATGCAGATACGTTCATAGCTGCAAAGCAAGCCAACATGAGTGCTTACATATTCCATAGTCCAGGCTTCCTGGGTTGTTTGCTACCTATCATCTGTAAGGCTCAACTTTTATATCTATCATCCATTTCCAATGATTCCATTCTATTACTGAGGTCGTATAATGAAGTAAAAATTAGGAGTCAACATTCTTGATTGGTGTTATCATTTAAAAAACTGATCTGTTCACCTTTATTTTAGGAAGCATTTCACTTATATTTTTTTAATGATGTCACTTCTGTTGTTCATACCTAATTTTTCCTTTCTTTCTGGAGTACTGATGCCATTTTAGCTACTCATTAGCCAATTGGTGCATAAATATGCATTAAATCACATTGTCTACAGGCCATGTTTCTGTAAACTGGTTTTCTATTTTCTTCAAGGAAAGCATTTCTTTCCAGGATTCCTCTTTCCTCTAAGAAGCCATAGGAAATACCATGCCTCTCTCAAACCTCTTGTGTCCTGATTACTTAGGAGATCTAAAGCACAGCTTTAGGCAGTTGGAATGAGAGGGGCTGACATGACTAGGCAGGTGAAAAATACTAACCAGGAGGTGAAAATCTATTTGTGAAATTGGATTCATCGTTGATTCCACCGAGTACTTGGCAGATGTGTATTCAATTATTTCTTGAAACAGGGATATCATCTCAGCTCCTCTGTGTTTCAATACCTGTTGCCTCAATTTTGCTAGTCTTTTCAACTTTTTTTTACCTTTTTACAGCCTTGAAAACTCTATGGAACAGTTCTACTCTGTACACATGGGGTCGCTATGAGTTAGAATCAATGGCAACTAACGAGGCATCCTTTAGCATTGTCTGGGTACAGAGTGAACATCCCAGACTTGGGCCTGCCTAATAATATGTTTTTATTTTTCTTTTTAGGCTTCACACAGCTCTTTCCAAGGCTTAGCTGGCCCATGTTTTACCTACTACAGTTTATGCTCTTTTCCAACTCTGAATCTGCAAATGCTCAAAATCTAAAAGATGCTTGTGCTGTTATGACATGTTGCCAAAAGAATAAAAAGAGAAAAAAAATGTTTTATCTAATTTGATTTTTAATTTGATTAATAGTGATTTAGTTTTCAAAGAACCAAATAATTACAGAACAAGAGAAAACATTGCTGGGATGATGCCCGATCTCTTACTTCTATTCAGGCTATTGCTGGGCTACATAGGAAATATATATTCATGGTGCCTTCATTCTTATAGAAATCAGAGTAAAATGACTAAACAGAAAATAGCAATAATTTTATGGCAGAAACAATTAATTATCTTTAGAATGAAACTATCAATATTTCAATCACTTTTGTGGGACAAATAAAATGAAAACCATGTCCTTTGGAAAAATATGACAAGGAATACCCTCAGATGCAACCTGCTGTTAGGAATGCCTTTCTCCAAAAATCAAGGTACGAAAGTCGTCACATTTAATTTTAAACGGTTTTCACCTTCTTCTTGCTTTCCCAGTATAAGGAGATAGATTTCTACATTGTTAAGGAATTATTGGAAATTTCATTCAGTTTGAGCACATAATAACATGTATTCTGTGATATGGGTATAAAAAGTTATCTTTTTCAACTAAATTATAAGACATAATTGTCCATAAAGTACATTTCAAATAAAAGTACTCATTAGGGGAGTAATATAAAGTGCAATATGTAAGATACTTTAAATAGTGCAAACTTGCTATGTAATAGCATATGTGCCAAGTCCAAATAAAGCAGCATCTTATCTACCCCTAAGCTACATAGAAAATGGACATACTTGCACACCATTAGTCCTTTGCAAGTATTTGTACTTTGTTCCATGTATGTATGTGTGTGCATCTGAGAGAGAGACACTGTGTCTGTGTATGTGTATAACTGCTAGATGATCTGTGCAAATGTCTGAAATGGGTTTCCTAGAATTTGAAACCATTAAACACTGACATAATTATGAACTCTCCATTTCAAAGAAGCATTAGGCATGTAGTAATGGTTGAGCTATTTCAGCCTGCATATCTTGTAAGTCAGGTATTTGACTGCGAATTAAATGTTTAATGAAAATCACAAAGAAGACAACAACTATAATGCTACCAAGAGAGACCCCTATGAAATAAGCATATGCCTCTTCTTGCTCATATTCTCTTGGTTTGCTACTACCATGGGGGAGTGTAGTACTCTTCATATAAGGAGTTGTTCTTGGAGTTGCTGAATTGAGCAGATCCTGGACATTCTCGAATGAACCATTGTGTGGCATGGCGGTGATATTGAGGAGGTAGCACAATAATGGGTACAGATCTGTAGAGTTCATGGATTCTTTTGTGAAATTATTTCTGAAGGCAGGACCATGGGCTAAAAATATTGGATGCATTTCCGGTAATGCATTATCATAACCATGGTTACCTACTGTAAAGAGAAAATGCATGAGTAAGTTAGCCAGCCAGATGGCATTAAAATGGAAATAATAATTGTACGGTCAAGTTCTGAACTTAAACGTAAATTTTATCTAATTTGACTTTAAAAATCAGATAATCATACAATCTCTGATGTCAACATCGCAGTTCTCTTCAGGAAATGAAAAGTCAAATGATCACAAATCTTTCTATCATGCTAACACTCCCTTAAGCAGCAGAGAAGGAAAGGTAAAAAAGAAAAACTGAGCCAAGTTAGGGGAAAATGAGAGTAATCCTTTCTTTTGCAGGGGAGAGGTGGCTGGTAAACTAATATTCAGCAAATACTTATTGGATACCTACCATGTTCCAATTATTGTTCTAAATACAAAGGCGCTCTTAGTCTCAGGAAGGCATTCAACACCTAAATTCATAATTAGCAGTAAAGAGGGAAAAAACAAAAAGAAACACAATAGAAAGCACAAAAATCAGACCTTTAGTTATAGCTACAATCCACTACTAAAAGCCAAAGGTCAGGACTTGTGGGTAGAGTGGGAAAATATTGACTTTGGATGTTCAGATCAGGATCCAACTTAGCATCATGTGCTTTAGTGTGGCTACAGATAAAGTCAAAACTTTAGGGGCCTTCTGATGTATCAAGTGATACAAAATTGATGGAAGAGAAATCTTGCATTTTAAAGACATGTGTGCCCAGTGTAACATCAGGGTGCAAGGCAAAGGAACTACTACTGCTGATAAAAATGGCAACCTAAGAAAACTAAAAGGCTTTATTTTGTGTGTTGGAATTTTAAATGGGATATCCACTATATTCTAAATAACCCGTTGCTGACAAGTCGATTCTGACTCATAGCGACCCTATAGGACAGAGCAGAACTGCCGCATAGGTTTTCCAAGGAGCAGCTGGTGGATTCAAACTGCCAACATCTTGGTTAGCAGCCATAGCTCGCCATAGCTCTTAACCACTGCTCCACCAGGGCTCCATATTCTAAATGGATTCTAAATTTATTCAGTGGAAATTACTCCAAAATTATTTCATAAGGTATTAGGAAAATATTTCTTGAGATATTATTATCCATGCCAAATGTACTTCTTTTTAGAAATGTTTCCAATATGTAAAGCAAAGTTGGCCTATATTTGGTAGAACCAAAAGGGCAAAAACACTAGAAGCCTATCTACTGCAAAATAAAAATAAGGATTAAATTTTTATTAAATTAGAATGTAAAACAGATGTGGAATATAATCCAGTTTACAAATTTCAGTTATGTTTTTCTCAGAAACAGAAAAGATATAATTTATATCAGTGTACGCCACTGTACCTATCCTGGCCTGACGATTTCAAGAGAAGTAAATGTTTCACTTTTAAAAGGTTACCCCCTTTTAAAGCCCCAAGGATTCTTCTTTTGCTATTAATGTATAACACTAGTTATTTGATTAGTAAATAAATTGTTATATTAGCCATAGTACACACTTTAGCAAAAACCGATGCTGAATGGGAAGAAACACTGTAATATACTCACACAGAAAGTTATCTGACTTATTCTGTAAAATATGCCACCCTTCATCAGCCACCGCTATGATTGGATGAATTCGATTGTTGTGTCTGTAATGCCATCTTTCAGGAATCTCCTCTTTTTTGTAAACAGTAAGATTAGGATGAGCATGAGCTAGAGCTTCATAGACTTCATCAAATTTACCTAAAGAGAAGGCAGGAGATGCACTCAGAACAAGATACTCATTCATGCAAAGAAACAACTATGGGCAACCGAGGTCAATTAATATTTCTTAAATGCAGACTCCCTGCATTTGAGGTGTAAAGCCAGCAAGCTGAACATAATGAAATATAGCCAGGCACTTTATGTGGAAGAGCTCCCATGCCCTTTGAAGAAAGAATCTTGAGAGAAAAACACTAATCTTCTGTTGTACGAAAGTTCACCTTATAGAATTAAGAGGACATTTTATAGAACCGGAAGTCTCTAATCTAATTTAAAGACTTAAATACACACACAAATACAAACACACATGTATGTATTAACTAGTGGCACTGAGTAAAATGTCTAAGGTACTGTAATACACACCAAATTAAAGAGTTAAATTCTGGTCGTTCTGAATGCAGACATAGAGAATCTCTAGACAAGAAACTATTTTAAGTGGGGGCTAGGCATTAGGAAGGGACAGACTGTGGGTGGAAAGCAGCTTGTAAAATGGAAGGGTCCTCAAATCACTGGAGGTTTTACAAAAGTACTCCCTGTAACTTCAAATGCAACAAACCTGGGCACTATCTTTAATCCTTTCCTTATTTTTAAAATCCATCTGTTGGGGCTTCCTCCCTGCCTCCCACACCCCAAAGATGAAACACTGTTACAATTTATAATGGACACAGAAGGGTTAGTGTGATTTTCTTAAATTTAACAACAAAAAACTTGCTATTTTATATCAAATTTGCTGAAAACTTTGTGTAGGTGCACATGCATATTTTAACATCCATTGTTTCATATGGTTCCCTTAATTTTCCGACGAGGGCTATAACTCTCATTTGTGAGGTATTCCAGCTTTTCAAAATCATTTCTCTCATTTGAGACCTAAAATCAAACCAAACCCACTGCCGTCAAGTTGATTCTGACTCCCAGCAACCCTGTAGCACAGAAGTGAACTGCCGCATAGGGTTTCCAAGGAGTGGCTAGTGGATTGGAACTGCTGACCTTTAGTTTAGCAGCCAAGCTCTTAACCACTGAGCCACGAGGGATCCATTTGTGACCTAGACCAACCTAAAACCAAAAAACCAAACCCGTTGCCACTGAGTTGATTGTGACTCTCTAGTAAAACAGCCCCTTAGGGTTTTCTTGGCTGAAATTTTTATGGAAGCAGTTTGCCAAGCCACTCCTGTGGTGCCCATAGGTGGGTATGAACTGCCAAAATTTAGGTTAGCTGCCAACCACAAACTACTTGTACCACTCAGGGACTACCCCTACAAGGTCACGCTAAAAGACAGAAAAGCAGATCTGAGTCATGCATGCTACTTTGTGAACTTGGGGATGTTAAAAATCTTTTTAGCATGTTTATCTATCTTTAAAGGAGTCCTGGTGATGCAACGGTTAAGCGCTAAGCTGCTAAACAGAAGATCAGCGGTTCGAACCCACAGCCTCTCCAAGGGAGAAAAGACCTAGTGATCTGCTCCCATAAAGATTGTTGTTAGGTGTGGTCAAGTCGGTTCTGACTCATAGCAACCCTATGTACAACAGAACGAAACACTGTCTGGTCCTGCGTCATCCTCACAATCATTGTTATGCTTGAGCCCATTGTTGCAGCCACTGTGTCAATCCATCTCATTGAGGCTCTTTTTCGCTGACCCTCTACTTTACCAAGCATGTTGCCCTTCTCCAGGCACTGGTCCCTCCTGATAACATGTCCAAAGTACATGAGACAAAGTCTCGCCATCCTTGCTTCTAAGGAGCATTCTGGCTGTACTTCTTCCAAGACAGATTTGTTCGTTCTTTTGGCAGTCCACGGTATATTCAATTTTCGTTCCCAATACCATAATTCAAAGGCATCAATTCTTCTTTGGTCTTCCTTATTCATTGTCCAGCTTTCGCATTCATATGAGGTGATTGAAGATACCATGGCTTGGGTCAGGCACACCTTAGTCCTCAAGGTGACATCTTTGCTTTTTATCACTATAAAAGGTCTTTTGCAGCAGATGTGCCCAATGCAATATGTTTGATTCCTTGACTGCTGCATCCATGGACACTGATTGTGGATCCAAGTAAAACGAAATCCTTGACAATTTCCAATCATTTCTCCGTTTATCATAATGTTATTGGTTCAGTTGTGAGGAACTGTTTTCCTTATGTTGAGGTGCAATCTCAACAGTGGGCTGTAGTCTTTGATCTTCCTCAGTAAGTGATTCAAGTCCTCTTCACTTTCAGCAAGAAAGGTTGCGTCATCTGCATATGGCAGGTTGTTAATGAGACTTCCTCCAATCCTGATGCCTCATTCTTCTTCATATAGTCCGGCTTCTCAGATTATTTGTTCAGCATACAGATTGAATAAGTATGGTGAAAAGATACAACCCTGATGCACACCTTTCCTGACTTTAAACCATGCAGTATCCCCTTGTTCTGTCTGAGTGACTGCCTCTTGATCTATGTATAGGTTTCTCATGAGCACAATTAAGTGTTCTGGAATTCCCATTCTTTGCAATGTTAATTTGTTATGATCCACACAGTCGAATGCCTTTGCATAGTCAATGAAACACAGGTAAACATCTTTCTGATATTCTCTGCTTTCAGCCAAGATCCATCTGACATCCGCAATGATATCGCTTGTTCCACGTCCTCTTCTGAATCTGGACTGAATTTCTGGTAGCTCCATACTGATGTACTGCTGCATCCGCTTTTCAATGATCTTCAGCATAATTTTACTTGTGTGTGATATTAATGATATTGTTCAATAGTTTCTGCATTCAATTGGATCACCTTTCTTTGGAATGAGCACAAATATGAATCTTTTCCAGTCAGTGGGCCAGATAGCTGTCTTTCAAATTTCTTGGCATAGATGAGTGATCACCTCCAGCATTTTATCCATTTGTTGAAACATCTAAATAAGTATTACATCAATTCCTGGGGCCTTGTTTTTTGCCAATGCCTTCAATACGCCTTGGACTTCTTTCTTGAGAACCATCAGTTCTTGATTATATGCTACCTCCTGAAATGGCTGAACATCAACCAATTCATTTTGGTAGAGTGAGTCTGTGTATTCCTTCCGTCTTCTTTTGATGCTTCTGTGTCATTCAGTATCTTCCCTGTAGAATCCTTCAATATTGCAACTCAAGGCTTGAATTTTTCCTTAAGTTCTTTCAGCTTCAGAAATGCTGAGACTTTTCTTCTCTTTTGGTATTCTAACTCCAAGTCTTTGCACATTTATTATAGTTCTTTATTTTGTCTTCTTGAACCGCCCTTTGAATCTTCCTTTCAGCTCTTTTATTTTATCATTTCTTCCATTTGCTTTAGCTCTAAGCTTAAGAGCAAATTTCAGAGTCTCTTCTGACATCCATTTTGGTCTGTTCTTTCTTTCCTGTCTTTTTAATGACCTCTTGCTTTCTTCATGCATGATGTCCTTGATGTCATCCCACAACTCGTCTGGTCTTCAGTCATTAGTGTTCAATGCTTCAAATCTGTTCTTGAGATGGTCTCTAAATTCAGGTGGGATATACTCAAGGTCATATTTTGGCCCTTGTGGACTTGCTCTAATTTTCTTCAGCTTCGACTTGAACTTGCATATGAGCAATTGATGGTCTATTCCTCAGTCGGCCCCTGGCCTTGTTCTGACTGATGATATTGAGCTTCTCCATCGTCTCCTTCCACAGATGTAGTCAATTTGATTCATATGTATTCCATCTGTCGAGAGCCATGTGTATAGTCACTGTTTATGTTGTTGAAAAAAGGTATTTGCAATGAAGAAGTCATTGGTCTTGCAAAATTCTATCATGCTATCTCCAGCATCGTTTCTATTAACAAGGCCGTGTTTTCCAACTACTGGTCCTTCTTTGTTTCCCACTATTGCATTCAAATCACAAATAATTATCAGTGCATCTTGATTGCATGTTTGATCAATTTCAGCCTGCAGAAGTTGGTAAAAATCTTCAGTTTCTTCATCTTTGGCCTTAGTGGTTGGTGCATAAATTTGAATAATAGTCGTATTAACAGGTCTTCCTTGTAGGCGTATAGATATTATCCTATCACTGACAGCTTTGTACTTCAGGATTGATCTTGAAATGTTCTTTTTGATGATGAATGTGACATCATTCCTCTTCAATTTGTCATTCATTACACAGTAGACCATATGATTATCTGATTCAAAACGGCCAATACCAGTAAATTTCAGCTCACTAAGGCCTAGGATATTGATCTTTATACCTTCCATTTCATGTTTGGTGATCTCCAATTTTCCTAGATTCATACTTCATACATTCCACAATTAATGGATGTTCACAGCTGTTTCTTCTCATTTTGAGTAGTGCCACATCAGCAAATGAAGGTCCCAAAAGCTTAACTCTATCCACATCATTAAGGTCAATTCTGCTTTGAGGAGGCAGCTCTTCCCTTGCTGTATTTTGAGTGCCTTCCAACTGAGGGACTCATCTTCTGTACAATATCAGACAATGTTCCACTGCTATTCATAAGGTTTTCACTGGCTAATTTTTTCAGAAGTAGACAGCCAGGTCCTTCCTAGTTGATCTTAGTCTGGAAGCTCTGCTGAAACCTGTCCACCATGGGTGACCATGATGGTATTTGAAATATCAGTGGCATAACTTCCAGCATCACAACAACACACAAAAGCCACTACAGTATGACAAACTGACAGATGAGTGGTGGCCATAAAGATTACACCCTAGGAAACTCTATGGGGCAGTTCAACTCTGTCATATAGGGTTGTTATGTGTTAGAATTGGCTTGATGACACACAACAAGAACAATAACCTCTTTAAAATGAAGATAATGCCTTGGTGACAAGGCTGATATGAAGATCTGAGGAGAGGTTTACAAAAAGTTGAAAGTATTTTTATTACTTTTCCTATTTAAAAAAAAAAAAAAAAAAGTTGCCACCAAGTCAGTTCCGACTCGTGGCTATCTCACGTGTCTCAGAGTAGATCTGTCCTCCATGGGGATTTTCAATGGCTGTGATTTGTCAGAAGTGGATCACCAGGCCTTTCGTCTGAGGTGCCTTTGGGTGGATTTGGACTGTCAACCTTTCGGTTTGTAGTTTAACAATTTGTGCCACCCAGGGACTCCCCTTATTTATAGATAAGTAAAATAAATCTTAAGGTGAACAGAAGTCTTATGTTGTCTGGTCCATAGCTCCTTCTCCTTGCTATATTCTGCTATGTATAGCAAAATGTACTTCCATACTTTCCTTCTTACAAAGAAAGTTCTAACCAAGTAGGCTATAGAAGGCTTTAGGGCTTCCAGGAATTCATTGCAGTTGTATGCAACTTTTGTATGTATCTTCCCCTCTCCATTTTTCTGAGAAGGGAGACTATAGTTTTCACCACATTACATGATTCCAAAACGGCTAAAACCTACTGCTGTAAATATATTGTTGTTGCTGCTGGTGAGTGAATTCTGACTCATGGCAGCCTCATGTGTGCAGATTAGGACTGCTCCATAGGGTTTTCAAGGCTATTACCTTTCAGAAGCAAATCACCAGGTCTGTTTCCTGAGGCACCTCTAGGTGGGTTCGAACCACCAACTTTTTGCTAATAGTTGAGTGCTTAACCACTTGCCCCACCCAGAGAGCATCAATTTCAACATTTTAAGATAACAGAAATAATTAGACTCTGGGAAAAAGAGTGTATTTTCAGTCTAAGGATTCAATCCTAGTGTATTACCATGACATAGGCATGTATGCTTTAAAGACACAGAGATAAAAAATTCCCCATTCACTTAATCACACTGTACAATCTCTACAAGAAAAGGAAACATTCACATCTAGCCTCAGATCACCTTTCAGGTCAGATTTACCTTCTTTTGGTAAGATCGCTGCTACTGGAGATTGGTCAATGAGGATATAGAGGTCTTTATCCAGATACTGGTCAAGTTCTATTATCCTGTCCTCAGAACACTGTGTCATTCCATGATCACTTGTGATGATTAGGTTCAGCATGTTCCACAACTTTGCCTTTTTTAACATTCTTATGAGATATCCCAGCTTGTTGTCAATATCTGAAATGACAGGGCCCATGAGTGGACTGTCAGGCCCCAAATGGTGGCCTGCGTCATCTGGGTCCTCCCAATAGAGAAGACCAAGATTAATAGGCTCTTTTGATATAAACCATTCAATAATTTTGGCAACTCTATCTTCAAATGAAACGGACTCATTGTAAGGCATGTAGTGAGTAGGAAAGCTCTTGTGTATTTTTACATCTGTTCCAGGCCACATTGCCGCACCACTAGTATGTCCTGCCCTTTGATTTGTGATCCATATTGGTGTTGCTTCTTCCCAAAACTCGGAATCATAAATATTCATGTGATCCAAGGAGAAAGACTTGTTCAGAATAGGATCAAACATGTCATTTGAAACAATCCCATGACTCTCTGCAAAGAGGCCAGTTACCATAGTATAAAAGTTAGGGTATGTCTTTGTAATAAAAATATTAGTAACTTGCTCCACATGAACACCGTATTTCATAACATAGTGAAAATGGGGTGTTGGAACTTTATATAAGTAATCCCAACGGAATCCATCAAATGAAACTAGTAGAACCTTTTGCTGTCCTGGTTGGAGGGAAAATGTAGTTGAACGCATTAGTGTAGCAAGTATGAAGGATGCCCAGGGAAGTTTTGAAGTCATTTTCAAAGTGCTTGATCAGTTCAGCATAAAATAATCTGTAGAATAAACATATAGAAGTTAATGGCAACAATTTTGCTGCATACTCTTTATCCTAAACTGAGAGTGCTGGTGTTTACTAATCCCAGTTATATCATAAATCACAGCTTGGAAGAATTATGTTGCAGAACTCCATCTTACACTAGAGACCTAGGGCTATCTGTATAATAAAGCCCAGAAGTTTAGTTGTATTATAAAATGTTTTTATACTTTGCAAGAATTTATCAAAACATTCCTCAAAGGGATTATTTAAATAAGTTCCCCAATAGCGTTTTAAAACAATTTGCATATACCTTTTCAGAAACATTTTCAGGTTGACTCAGACGTCTGACTTCTAGTCAGAAACATTTATACAGTCAAATAGCTGTGAACGTATTTATCGTTATGACTAGACCAATTACACGAACCTAGCAATAAGGGAGTACCGTTAGCAAATCCAATAATGGTGCTTTTTTTTCTTTTTTAATACATCTCTATTTTTAAAGCCAACACCTTGATGTTCAGTTCATCATGGTTAGAGATGTGATCAGTGAGAGAAGAAAATAGATGAACTTGTTTCTTGAACTGAAGTAAAGTTTGTGACATTCAAATATATCTATGAAATGTAATGCACATTCATTTATTAATAATCAAAGTGTAACCTCTTCTTTAAACAATTAGGTTCTGAACTAAGTCGAAACAGAAACATAATTCTGAAATTTGATGTTGACTTTCTTAATGTGAAAATTAGTTAATAATCTTATCAGTGATATGTGTAGAAAAAGCACTTCCCAAGATTCAATCTTTTTGGAGCAAAAAAAAAAAAATTTAATTTGCATATATTTCCAAAAGCTTTTATGCTATTTATGAAAGCCATTCGCTAATGTGGATAAAGGATAAATATGTAAATTTTGTCAATATCATCAGGCTTGAACTTCAAGCAGGATCTTTTGTTTTTTTTTTCCTGTCCATTCTTGCATGAAGGTATTTATAAGTCCACCAAAACGTGGATCTAACAATACTTTGTATTAAGGAATCTCTGAATTGGCTTTTGAGATCTCCTAATTTGAACATACTAAAGATATGTTTAAATCTCAAAAACATACCCTGACTTGCCTTGATACAAGTAAATACAAATTGCTTGGCAGGCTTGCTTTGCTTTCAGAAGCACAAACTACGTATCAACTATGTTTTACCTTCAGCAATAATTTTGTTTGTTTTTTAACTGTGGATTCACCATACCTAGAACATTACTTAAACTGAAGTTGTTTTAAGTATAGGTCTCAAGACAAAAGTTCAAAAATTAAGTTAAAAAAGTATTTCTTAAATGGCAATACTTTTTCCAATTCTGGAAGGAACGTTAAAATCAGTTGCAATAGAGAACTTCAAATATATGCACTGCTGTATCTGGCTGAGGATGGTGGTTCCTCCCTCTCTCTCTCTGCTCCTCTCTATTTTCTTTCCATCCTTCCTAACACAGTGAAGGCCAGAATCAACCGCATGGAACTCTTTGAGTTTCTTCCATCTTAGTTAACTAATTCAGCAATTTGGGGTAAGCAAGAGAGAATGGGCTTTGGAACAAACGAAAGTAAACTAAGGTTAAGTGTTGTCTAAGGCTTACGAATGCTTGATAAGAAGAACCAACATTATCACCTTGATGACAGAAAACAATAAACAGGGAGGTAGGGGTGGACCCTTCCGCGCATAGAATGTTACAGAATGCAGTGAAGTCCCTAGATCTGGATCCAGATTTCACTGGGCTGCTTTGCAGTTTCTCCTCCCCTCCAATCCTTCCACCACAGACAGCCTCGGAAATCTGGAGGGAAGCGCCACCAAGAAAAGGGAAGGAGAGGAAAAGTAAAGGAGTAAGTCTGTGTGGGGCAAGTATAAGTCAGCCGGAGGGGGGTGCATCGCCCCATCTTCTGACTGGGATTCCATTGTAGCCACCGGGGAGGGTCGCGGCGTAGGGTAAATTCTCAACTCCGAGATATCGCGATCACCGAGGCCCGCAGATACCTCAGACAGGGCTCTGTGTCTATGTGTGCACTGGAAAGAGCGGTGACAGCTTTGGGGGCCGATAGGGCCCATGAGGGTCCCCGGAAAGCAAGCCGCCCACTCTCGCAGGACTCTTACCCTCGAAGCTATCACAGCAGTCCACGTCTGCTTGGGGATATGGGAGGGGAGGTGGCGGGAGCGAGGGTCGCCCCTGAATCAGTAACCGCTCACCTGCACGCAGCCTCTGCGCAGAGCACCTGACCAGCACCACCTCCTCCCTCCGGCCCCGCCCCTTGGCTCCCGTTGGTTATGGCAGGATTGTCACCTCTTCCCGGGTTGCTAAGCAAAAGCCAGGTTCCCCGGAGTAGCAGGATTGCCTGTCAGTCAGCGGGAGCAGGGGCGGGCGCTGGCTAGGTTTGGAGGACGGAGGAGGCGGGACCCAGAGGGAGCAAATGACCCGTGAGGACCCATCTGGGAGTCGGACGGTTGGGGAGGCTAAAGCGCCTGTCACTTCACTCTCGCGCCGGTCCTCGCTGTGACTGAGCACAAAACCTCTCTGTGATGGTGCCCTTTCTAGACGGGCAGTTGTGCTGTCATCAGTGGTGCTGGGAGATTATAATGCGCTACCGCAGGGGTTTGTGTACTCTAACACTCACTGTTTTTGTTAAAAGCTACTTTTTCCCCTTTATCTGATCTCTCACCTCAAGCTTTCTTATTCTTTATCTTATATTGACGATGCCAAGACAGGAGAGCTTACACATGAACTTTGTTCTGAGGGACACCTGAGCACCCAAGGATGTTGATGGGATGATGAATTTTTCTTTAATTGATTTTCTTTATTAGTTGGTAATATCTGCTTTACCTTAGAAAGGATTTAATCTAGTCATCTCTCAGCCCCAGCGTCTCTTCAGTTTTTTGCAAAGGTCTTTGAAGGATCTGTGATGTGGGTTACTGAGAATGCACAGATGATATCAAGCATGGCTCAGGATAGGTCAGTTTGTACCCAGAGAGAGGCTAGGGAGCTACTCTGGTGATTGCACCTAGGTCCCAGATTCTGCTTCTTCCTCTGGTTTCAAATATACGTTACAGCTAGAACTTCAGGTCTAACTTCTCTTTCAGGGAGTTTTCAACGTTTGTTTTTTTAAATTAGTTAATTATGACTCATGGTGATGCCACGTGTGTCAGAGTAGAACTGTGCACCGTAGAGTTTTCAATGGCTGATTTTTCAGAAGTAGATTACCAGGACTTTCTTCTGAGGCACCTCTGGGTGGACTCGACAGTCAAACTTTTGATTAGCTGCTGAGTGCATTAACTTGGTGTACCACCCAGGAACTCCAGATCCCAACTCTACTTATCATAAATTATAGTAATGACATCAAGCTCTCTGAAAGGATTTGTTCATTTACACAGTTCCCAGCCCAAATTCTGACCACCCTGCAATGGGCAATAATATCCGCTTGGTTGTCTTAATAATTAGAGTTTCAACACCAAATTGGCTTTGGCTCCTGTCTGCCGCTCACTTTCCCTGTGCTGGGGCTGTAAAATGAATAGACATTCCTGCTGATTTTAATTAAATGAGGCAAATACTTTGGTAACAATTTTTCTGTTTGTTTTGCTTTGCTTTGTTTTTCCTTCAGTTTCTGATAGAGGTACGGTTCCTACCCCAACACTCACTCCCTTCTCATTGGGTCATAGTATCCCAGGAGGCATCTGGACACTCTTCCATGGCCCTTAATTTGAGGTGAGCTGAGTTTATGGTTTTCCATATGTGGGAAGACCCAATGATAGTGAAGTAGTACGGGTTGTTCCAAGTCCCTAAAGCTCTGTCCTTTGAAATTGCCCAAGGTTGAAACAGAGTAGTACAATCTTGTAAGTTCTTGATCCCCCAAAATAGTCCAACCCTGTGTTCTCCAAAAACACTCAAAGAACAACTTGTGCTGACCGGAGAGCAGGAGCAGTAAAAACTGGCCTATCTTTTATATGGGTCACTGAACACTGTTTGACTCTGGTCAAATGACAACCTGCCTTGCACTGCAAACTTTACGGAAGGCATGATTGTATTCACCAGCTACCCCTGTGAAATGGGCATGGCACAGCTGTTAGCACAGCTTGCAACATGGAAAATGACTCACGAGGGGCTCAGCAAGTGCCAGACAGCCAGACACACTCTCCCAACCTCCATATAATGAAATCTAGTGTGCAACTCATAGGCTTGTTATATAGTTCATGTCACTAATGGTGGAAAAAATCTGGCTTAAATAGCATAGCTAGAGGAATGATTTTAAAAACATGGAATTCCTGCTTACACATCTCTATCTGTAGTGTCTGACCTATTGCCTCAGTCTCTGTCCAGTTGCAAGAACTGTTTAACAAATGGCAGAATAAGCCACAACCAGTTATTGACTGTAATTATTACTTTATTTTATATTATTTGAAGTCATATAATCATAATTGGAGCCCTGGTGGTGCAATGGTTAAGATCTCAGCTGCTAACCGTAAGGTTGGCAGTTCAAACCTACCCAGCAGCTCCACAGGAGCAAAACATGGTGATCTGCTCCCATAAAAATTACAGCCTAGGAAACCCTACGAGGTAGTTCTACTCTGTCACATAGGGTCACTGCGAGTCAAAAATTGACTTGATGGCACCTAAAAACAACCAAGTATTAAAGTATAATAATGACCATACGATCCAGCAATCCCACTCCTAGGAATATACCCTAGAGAAATAAGACATAAGCATACCCATGTTCATTGCAGCACTGGTCACAATAGCAAAAAGATGGAAAAACCTAAATATCCGTCAACAGATGAATGGATAAACAAATTATGGTACGTACGCACAATGGAATAGTATGCAACAATAAAGAACAATGATGAATCCTTGAAACATCGCACCACGTGACAGAACAGGAGAAAAATGTAGAACCGAACTTAAATTCATGTAATAATACCAGACTTTATGGTCTGACAGAGTCTGGAGGAACCCCTAAAACTATGGCCTCCGGACACTCTGCTAACCCAGAACTGAAGCCATTCCCGAAGCCCGCTTTTCAAAGATTAGACAGGACTATAAAACAAAAAATTAATACACATAAGGAACATGCTTCTTAGTTCAATCAAATATACGAGTTCAAATAGGCAGCTCCTGTCCATAAGCAGGAGGAGAAGGCAGGAAGGGACAGGAACTGGACAAATGAACATGGGGAACCTGGAGTGGAAAGGGGGAGTCTGTCACATTGTGGGGATTACAACAAATGTCACACACAAAAAAGTGTATAAATTTTTGGATGAGAAATTAACATGAGCTGTAAACTTTCACCTAGAGCACAATAAAAATAAATAAATAAAGTATTATAATGAAATGTGCAAAGACCTGGAGTTAGAAAACCAAAAGGAAAGAACACAGTTGGCATTTCTCAAGCTGAAAGAACTGAAGAAAAAATCAAACCTTGAG